TCAGAGGTGCCATCTATTGAGGGAAAACACAAACAATGGAGAGAGCGACATCAGAGGTGCCATCTATTGAGGGAACACAAACAATGGAGAGAGCGACATCAGAGGTGCCATCTATTGAGGGAACACACAAACAATGGAGAGAGCGACGTCAGAGGTGCTCTCTAGTGAGGGAACACACAAACAGTGGAGAAAGCGATGCGAGAGTCGCACTCTGAATGAGCTCAAAAATCCCAGGGAGAGTTTAGGCAGGGTGGGAGTGGGTCAAGTTCCAATACAAGTTCATTCATTTAGGGTAAACGTAGTGAGGGAAACCTGCGAGCAAGTGAGGCTGAATAAGTGAGACAGAAAGAAAAGCGGTGAGACAAGCATTAACATATTTAGGACAACATTCAGACCCATTTGATTGGCTATAAACTGCTATTAAACTTGCTATAAAACTATTACTAATTTCGAACTCGCCCTACATAGCAACTAGTGCTTCCACCTACCTGTCGTAGCGATAACATCGAACCCGATGAAAGCGTAGAAGCAGGTGGCAGCACCTGACATCATACCGGTGAAACCAAATGGCATAAAACCGCCGACGCCATTTTGATAGACGACTTCCATATATACGGTTTCATTAGGAACCTGCAGTAGCAAGCCATTAGTAATTATTAAATAATTTTAGAATAATTAACTCCTAAAGTACCTAAAGTTATCATATTTAAAATTACAAGTAATTCCTATTCAAGAGTTTGTTAACTACTATAATTGTACAGATCGAAGATGCCTTATTGTTCATTATTAGGAGGCCATGCATTATTTATAATATTAATTATTGATGTTTCTTTTTACCAATATACGTTCTGTGTCTATCCATACATGTGTGCATGCGTGCTTGTACGTATGTGTGTAAGGCTCAAAATTAAGAAAGATATGAAACTTCTTCCATGAAAAGTGATTGTTTGTATAACAGCAAAATACTAAATAAATAAATGATAAAAAAAACGCTCTATTTCCTAACTTTTCCACCTGACACGTGCATGGTCACTTAAGACTTTTCCCGCACCAGATCTGCTCGACCCGAAAAAAAGGAAAGACTTTAATTACAATGTACTACATTAACTACAATCCCTGTGTGTGTGTGCGTGTTGATGACCCCCAGTCCTCTCTCGTCAGCCTACCCTGTCGGCCGGGATCCTCCAGTTATCGATGTCCGACTGGAACAGTCCGCTGACGATGACGAACAGAACGACGAGAAGGTTGATCGCCGTGAAAACATTGTTCAGAGCAGATGACTCTCGCACGCCGATACACAGGATCGCTGAAAGATCACAGCGTACATTATAATCGCCACCCGCACTGATGCTTGAGGGGGGGGGGGAGTTTATTCAAGATAACATCTTCCAAGCTATATAGTTTCTTCCTGATAAAAAGAATTCGTTTCTTCAAACTACACAGTTCAGCAGAATGCAACTTGCATCTTCTATTCAAATTTTATTCTAATCTTTTAGTCAAAGTGTAAATATTTTATCTTTATATTATATCCTTTATTTTACCCTATAACATAGGCTTTACTCTGCATACAGAAGATTTATTCAGTAGAATTAAATCGAGATTCATTCAATGAGTCTGGTAGCAATTTTCACATCCCATCGCCGATTCACCGATAAAATCACATCACATTCGTGCCCCTGCCTACCTGTTAGAACTAGTATGATGGCGAGAGCAAAGAAGTCTGGATAGTTGGAGAGACCAGGCACGTTGACTTGTATGTGAGTAGACAGATAGTTTTCTATCGTGTTGTTGAGTAGAGAGTCGAAGTAAGCACTCCACGCCCGCGCCACGCTAGCTGCCCCTGTGCAAGTTATATACACAGTTATATACATCCACACACGCGCAACAGTAGCTGTACCAAGATTCCAAGAACAAACTATATACACGGAGAGGTACATCAATATATAAGCATGTTGTATATGATATATATATATGTGTAACATATATATAGCATATGTAATATTATAGTATATATATATATAAAATATACGGTTACATACACCCAAATTAGCTGTCCCAGTTCCAAATTAAATAGACAGCTAAATACAGCCATACTATAGCCCCTCCTGTACCAAGCAATAGCACAGTTATATATACATTCATACTAGCTCAGTGTTTCCCGTGCATTTACACGAGTGAGACGGGCCGCCTCGCTCAAATTCTCAGCCACCACCCAGAAATTTGTCCAAAACACTGCCTTGCTGACGAAACTTTTGACAACTTGAAAAATAGATTCAACAGTCTCATTCTCATACAATGTGTTCAGAATAGCTTAGAATGCACAAAATTGCACCGTTTTTTCAAAAATTGTCTGGGGCAGCATGCCCCCTGACCCCCCTATAGCTTGGCCAGCACCTGCGCTGCTCGCTTTGCTAGGACCTTGAAACGCGCAAACACATCACAAAAAACGTTTACCACCTCACAGACCTTTTTGGCCAGAGGAAAGACTGCTAGCTGACCCTATATACAATGAATAGAACAGATATACACATCCATACTAGCAGCTCCTGTACCAAGCAATATAATATGGTTATACACATTCATTCTAGCTGACCATATATACAAGCAATAGCACGGTTATACACATATTAGCTGACCCTATGTATAAGCAATAGCATGCACGGTTATACACATACTAGCTGACCCTATGTACAAGCAATAGCACCGTCTACGGTTATATAAACAGTCACACTAGATGACCCTTAGCCTATATATACACAAGAAATAGCACGGTTATACATATTCATATTAGCTGACCCCATATATAAGAAATGGCAGTTGGTTACAATACATATCCGTCTGAGTGACATAACCATGCCTAAATTGTTGCTAAAATAGGTCAAACTTGACCAGTTTATACAGGTTTTCACGTGTGAGCATGCAAAAATTTAGATTTTGTGGAACTTCGTTTCTATGCATTGTTTTAGGAATGTCTCGCCACACTGATGATTGGCTAGAACTGTGTCAATCATGTAAGGTGGATAGGTCGTTCAAGCTGACAATTAATGATGTACGGCTATCAGTATCACTCACTCACCTATGACATACTCTAGAATGAGATTCCATCCTATGATGAAGGCCCATAATTCACCGATCGTCACGTAGCTGTAGATATATGCAGACCCCGATTTCGGAACTCTAGCCCCGAATTCTGCGTAGCATAAACCTGTAACCAATTAAGCAAACAAAAGGAATTAAATGGAATTCTTCTAAGAAAAAATTATCTAGAACAGTAGACTACAACTATAGAAACTACTAAACGCAAGTTTCATTGATATAACATCTTCGAGTACGTACATTTGAATGGGAAACCGTTATCGGTGAATGAAATACTACAACCGGTCTTTATCACTATATGTTTATCGCATGCACTGACCAGTATACTGAGTTTACCTTTCATGCATCAAAGCTGATTTATCAATATGCATATCTGTATACATATATGGACACATGACAGTATATATATATAACGCAGCCCTTATGTATGTATAAAAACAGTGATCATGACTGTTGTCTTACTAAAGCCCTAAAAATCAAATCAAATACAAACAAAAGTATAATATGTTCTTGAACTTTGCCCTGGCACGTGCTAATAATGCTCATAGGGTCTATGTCCCCAAGGGTACTGCCGGAACGTACCCTGGGTACGGTCCGGTATACCGGAACGTACTCTGGTCACTATTTGATATGGTTAGAGTTAGGATTAGAGTTAGGGTTAGGGTTAGGGTTCGGGTTAGGGAGTAGGCGTAGGCGACTCCCTAGACTCGTTAGTGGAGTAGGCGAGGTACGGTCCGGCATATTAGATAGTACCAGGGTACGTTCCGGCAGTACCCCGGGGGACATAGACCCTAGCTCTCAGCACTAATAATAGACTAATCCCACACGGTTTGAGTCAAACAGCCTCCACGAGTTAGCAAACATAGTACGAAGTATGTGTTTTACAGTATTATAACAGCAGGAATTAAACTATTGTAAATGCAGTCAAACCTGTCTTAGCGACCATGCACCTCTCTACAACGGCAACCTGTTCCGTAACGGCAATTTTTGGCGGTTCTCCAGAGTGACAGTTCTACAGTGAAACAACCTCTATAGAACGAACACCTGTCCATAAAGGCCAGTTTTTGCATCTACCTTAAGTGGCCGTTATACACAAGTGTGGCTGTGCTATACTTAAAGATCAGGGTTGTAATTCCATATACCCAATTTCCCTCCAGTTTTCCTCTACAGTAAAATAAATACGCCACATTCTTGTTGACTCGTATACATGCTATCCAATTACCACACTCCTATTCACAAACATGCATTCGCACTCTATTTTTTCACGAAGAGTAGTACTGATGGCTGTGCAAACAAGAGTTTTTTACTTTTTCAAAAATGATAGATTCATTGATAGACTGAACAATTCTCGCTGGTAAAAATTTTTGCCTTCAAAGTTGCTATTTTCACATGGAAAGAAGTAAATATTCATTTAAATTCGAATTTAGAAGAATATCTTCTCATTGTATACGTCGAAAGTCTAACAAATGAAAATTCCTAACTCCCTGATTTACTGTTGGACTCCCTGATTTGACATATGCAGGAGTCCGTGTGACTCCCTGAAAATTCTGCTATACAAACTAGTTCGTTCCAGAGCACGGCCTCGAGGAATTGCCATATTTTCTCAGCAAATCTTTAATTTTGAACTTCAAACTATACTGACTCCCTCATTTTGCTGCGGACTCTCTCTTTTTGAGGGCAGGGAGGAGTCTCTCTTTTTGTTGGACTCCCTTGTTCAAAAGTTAAATTCTACCCCTGCATGTGATATACAGATATATATACACGATTAACTCGATCATACTCCCACTGGAAAGTAGATTACTACCACCCCTCGCTATCTCTCTACCAATCACTCCTCACTAATTTGTCATGACAGGGCAAGTGCACCTTATCATATAATGCCCCCAAGCGCACCTTGTCATATAACGCTCCCCACCACGCCCCACCTGCCTTTCACACTCGATCTACCTTTGTGCCGGCCCGAGTTCCGTAACCAGGCATAATTAATCAGCACCATCTACGACCATCACGATTGCAATCTAATTATGCTGGAATGGATAATGTGATTAGCTACAGGTGGCAGCACAGGGGTGCCGCATCATTCAGCGAGGATTGACTCATGCCGCAGTCAGCTTTAGTGGAGTGACTAAACCATTCCAGCCAAGCCACACATCCAAGCATCTCAGAAACCTACTTTGAATACTATATTTAGAATTCTTCTGTGCATGTGTGTTATTCATCCTCCTCCTCGTGCTCCTCCTCCTCCTCCTCCTCCTCCTCCTGCTTCTTCTCTTCCTCCTCCTCCTGCTTCTTTTTCTCCTCCTCCTCCTCCTGCTTCTCCTCCTCCTCCCCCTGCTTCTCCTTCTCCTCCTCCTCCTCCTCCTCCTCCTCCTCCTGCTTCTCCTTCTCCTCCTCTTCCCCGTGCTTCTCCTTCTCCTCCTCCTCCTGCTTCTCCTCTTCCTCTTCCTGCTTCTCCTTCTCCTCCTCCTCCTCCTCCTCCTCCTACTCCTCTTT